GTGCTTTTGTTTCTATTCTCTTATCTGTAATGTCTTCTCTTTTATGCAAAACCTGGACAAATCCTACTCAGCTCAGGTTTCCTCCATCTCCAGTTTTCTTTAAAACTAAAGTCCACACTGATCTTAATGTTCTCCAATATTAAGCTTTTAGTCAACATAGTATGTTTTCCATTACATATTGTTTATATGAAATGATAACAACTTTAGTTTTGTCTTCCCACACACACAGCAGAGGCCATGGCCTATTTTTCTTGTGTCCCCCTTTCTCCATGGTGCTCAGCACAGCGCTAAACACAAGGTCGATGCCCAGTATTTGTTAGCTGATTGATTTCAGTAACCCATGAAACCAGATACTCATTATACATGTGATACATTAAAGCTGCCCATTCAAGGGCAAATCAAAAGATTATAGAACTTGAGAATTATGACTTATTCAATAAAAGCCATTTTAGCCACAGAATTATTCAATTTTGCCAGATCTGGATATGATGAAATAAAAATATTACCTCTGGATTTTCACTCAAATATATTTGTTTAGATATGTTGTTTATTGTACAGATCCACTGTAAGAGGAAAAAATAGAAAATATGATTAATATTTTTTTCTACAATGCTTCTCTTCTAAAAGAGAATGTTCAATATTTGAATGAAATATGTTTCATTAAAGTATCACGTAATCTTTCTTATAAGATAAATACCTTCCTATATACATAAGCATATAAGTGTATAATATTTGAGGGTATAACATTGAACAGATTTATTATTTTTAAATCCCGTTTATTTCATACAAGGAAATAAAAAAATACAGCAATGTTAAATTATAATTTAATAGTCTATATTTAATCTTTTTATATCACTTCCCCCTTAATCACCACCAAACAAGACAGTCTGGACTCAGATATCATGATTAACACCAATGCAAAAAAGTTAGCTAAATATATTCCTGGTGAGTATCTTTTACATACTTCCCTTCTTTCAAGTTTATAAATAATTAGCATAGAAAATGCTCTTTGCTTCACACTTCTGATTCACTCTTGAGAATTCCGGTGCCTGATGAGCCTCACTAAACTAATATTCTGTTTGGTAAACCCTGCAGAGAGCAGACATATTTGTCTGTGTTCCTCAGAGACCAAAGCCAACTTTTAATACCTACTCTTTTCCACGAGAAGTAAATAAGGGTAGATCTCTACATAATTTCTAACCTTGTCTTTTACCAACACAATTATAATACCTGACAAAATAGCTCAAAATCAACCTATAATATATTTTCATTGAAGAATATTTTTCAAGACAAAACTTTTGAAGCATCAATTCTTGGTAGTAACTTACCTTCCATACATGGTGTACTAGAAGTAAAAATGGAGCCAAAAATAAAAGACTTGTGAGGAAGAACAGACACTCCCAAATTTTTGTTTTTCTATCTTTCATTTCCCCAAGGTTTTAAGCTTTAGTTGCTTCCTGCCATGCCACATCTGCTGCCACTATGTTCTTAATGCAGCAAATACTGTCTCCGAGGGTTGGTGAGAGAAGCAAATAAATTAAACTGTTGCCTCATGATACTAACAGCCTGCCAGAAAGCAAGTCACAAGGTCATTTCTGAATCTGAGCCTTTAAAAAGACAGGAGAGAGATGATCTCCAAAGTTTCTCCTCATAAGTCCAACTATAAAATTCTTTGTGAAACTTAAGAATGTTGCTTAAGGACAATAGATCTTAATTAAAAAGATATTTTAGATTAATCAGAATATTTCAAATTTCTATAATAAACACATACTGTGTCTTGTCATCAGCAAAATATCTTAAGATGTTGCTGAAAAATTAACTAGATAAAACTTTACCTCTTCATGGTCTTTTTTACTCTCTGCTTGCAAAATTGAAGATCTGAAAAAAAAAAAAGAGAAAAAGTTTACTCCTGAACTCTTTCTTAAATACTTTCAACATGATTTAAGAAAATTTTTTATCTTTAAAGTTATATATAAAACCAATCAGTATTGGGCCACCTGAGCGGTGCGTTGGTTAAGAGTTAGCTTGGAACACCAGCTCTGAGCAGCAGGGGCCCAGTTCAGATCCCACATGACAGCCAGTGACACTGCACCGTCTACCGCTAAGATGGTGAACAACAGCTCAACCTGATGCTGGGCTGCCGTGAGTCGCAGGCGATGGCGTAGGCTGCAGCCCCTGCTGCAGTGGGCTGCCGTGAACTACCATGAGTGGCTTGCAGCCAGCGTGAGCTGCTGTGAGCCGCACTGAGCCGCACTGAGCGGCCATCCAGAAGCCGGCGACTGATCTGCCTCACCCGGGAAGAGCGCAATGATGGTGCCAACTTGGGCCAGCAGGCCAGTGAAGTGACATCCTCCACAACTAGACTGAAGAACAAAAGGACAGCAACTTGTCTGTTCCCCTCCCCCAATTCCCCAATTAAAAAAAAACAAAACCAAACAATCAGTATTAAAAAACAACAACAACAAAAAAACAACCCCAAAACACACAACCAACCAGTATCTTAGGAAAAGGAGACCACCGGAGGCATCAGGACTCAGGTTTTAACAGCTCTTGACTTTGGCCATCAGTGCAAAATGTACCAAAAAAGAAACAAGTGCTAGTTTTCAGAAGACAGCCTATACCAAAGGTAAACTGCAACTAAGACAATCCATTTCAAACTCTGACACTTAAACATATTTCAAATATAAATCAGTGATACTAATAGAAAACATTAATTTTACTTCATTATTATTTCTCCTTGAATATAGTTAGTTTCAATAATTAATCACTAACATAGGGATATTTAGCTTCTCTATAGATGCTCATGTTTTAAGAATCAGAGAAAAAAACAACTTTTACTAATCTAGAATAAAACCAGGAATGTGAAATGGGAACTCATGTTAAGCATTAGCAAAAAACTGAAAATACAAAAAGTACTTGTAAGATATTAACAATTTGCTAATTTTGACAAATGAACGCAAGGACTTCCAATATCTAGTATAAGTGACACACAGTAATTGGCATATTTATAGAAGCAATATGAAATTAAATAACCATTTTGATAAAAGACAGTGAGCCGTAACATCTTAATGTCCATCTTAAATATAGGGGGAAAATGACTTTTAGGGAACACAAAAGCTGCTTCTGAACAACAAGAAAGGTCAAAAACAGTCTTTTAATCAAGTAAGGAAAAAACTGTAGATAGCTTAAACATCCATCACTAGAAAACAAAACAAAACAAAAACATCCATCACTAGGAAAAATTTTAATTTATGGTGTATATCCTTATATACCATATTATAGTATAGCCATTATAAAATGTTTTTGGATTTTTTTAAGATTTTATTGGGGAATCGGGGGAAGGGGAACAGACAAATTGATGTCCTTTTTGTTCTTCAGTCTAGTTGTGGAGGACGTCGCTTCACTGGCCCATGTTGGTGTTATCATTGCACTCTTCCTGGGTGAGGCAGATCAGTCACCAGCCTCTGGACGGCCGCTCACAGCGGCTCTTGGCAGCTCACGCCGGCTGCCAGCCACTCATGATAGCTTATGGCAGCCCACTGCAACAGGGGCTGCAGCTTATGCCATCGCCGGTGACTCATGGCAGCCCAGCTCCAGGTCGAGCTGTTGTTCACCTTCTTAGCTGTAGAGGGCAGTGTCACTGGCCCTCATGTGGGATCTGAACTGGGGCCTTGCTGCTCAGAGCTGGTGTCCCAAGCCAGCTCTTAACCAACGTGCCACTCAGCCGGCCCTATAAAATGTTTTTAATAAGTGAATGGAGATCCGAATTACATATATAGTATTTCCTCAACTGTTTAAAAACTGTAATTAGAATAAAAACTGTAAGGTAACAGACCAGAAAATTAACTGTTACTTCTGGTTAATGAGATTATAGCTTTTTTTCATATTTCTTTTTATATGTTTCTGTGCTTTTCAAAAATTTGTTCTGAAGGCAACTCTATGGATTCTCATTTAATGCAAAGGGAATAGAAGTTTTTAAATGGCATATAAACCATTAATAGACTAAACAATTAATTTGATCAGAAATATTTAACATCTAAAAATAACATTATTGTTAGCACGTACTACATGCTAGGCAAATTACATGTTAGATTTTAATTTTTCATTAACAATTTACAAAGTAGGGATTATGACCCCCCCCCATTTTACATGTACAAAAATGGAACTCAGAAAAGGTTATATAACTTGTCTAAGACCACACAGTAGGTAGTGGATCCAAAATTTGAACTTTTTGACCCCAAGGTTGAGGCTCTTCCCACTAATCTGTGCTGCCTTCTCCACACCATACAGGATTTTCAGTGACCGATCTCAACATGAAATCATAGGTCTTTACCATATGATGTTGTTTGACAACCTCAAAATATTAAGACATCATTTCACCAAGTCAGAAAGGAAAATTAAACTCATTTCTATAAGATTAGAAAGAAAATTACCTTAATACATAATAAGACTAAAATATCTAAATGAAAGAAAAGGAATTAGCTTGCATTTCAGTAGTTCAAAATATTACAGATTTTATTAACAGTAGGAAAAAATACTAACTTTTTTCCATCAAAAGAGGTGATCTGAAAACAGTACCGCCTGTCTTCACAGTCCACAGCCATCACTGAACAGTTGTCTATGTCCATGGCCAGGCCTCCTGCTACATCCCCACGGGCCTGACTCATTAAGTTTCCACCCTGAGTGAAGAAAAACTGTCTGTCCCAGGTGGATGACACCAAGCCTGTTTTACTAAAGGAAGAAAGTACATTCACTCTTTAGTAACAATACACATGAAATCTCATCATAAGCCAGACACAAGATAAAGTACATCACAAAGAATTAGCTTGCAAAAAAGCACCACGGTGCCTAGAAAATATAAATATTAGTTTTTCAGTCTCTAGTATAAATTCACATATGCTGACCCACTTGCGTGAGTGGGTGTACGAGTATATATATATTTCCAAAACAAGGCTGGAAATTATCAAATCACAGCTATTATAATGAAGCTTTATAAAATATAGTTCAACTTTTCAAGTATATAAATTCAAAAGAAAAGTATTTACTCCTAGGTTAACTAGCTTTATCCTATCTTCAGGTAAAAACTAAAATTTGACTTGATGTAATTACATATATTCTAAAGTATGATAAGTGACATTTAATAGCATTCACATTATGCTGGATTTATGTAGTCTCAAATTGGTTTCACTTTTAAATAATTCTAAATTACTCGATTAATATCTAAACAGAATTTTACTTTTGAAAATTATTCATGTGCCCCATCTGTCAAAAAGTTCACATGAATACTAAATACCACTAACAAAAAAGATTCAATCTTTAGTAAAATCAAAACAATTTGGTAGACAATACCAATTATATACTATATTCACTTGCTACTACCTTAGATGATACACAATAGATGAAAATAACAATCATTTTCTTACTTCCTAGCATTGAGGTATCCAGCCTTTCGGGTTAAGTTTCGATTCACAGGAAATTTCGTGGGATCTGGGTCAGGCACATATAAAGGGTCACTGGCTACTTCCAAATCCTCTATTGTTTGCTGCATGGTCTCTATATCACTATCCATTTCCCTGCGAACACTAATATAGAGAACAGGTTATTTACTACCAACCACAACAGCTTATTTACTTACCAACAATGTTTATCTATATATGTTCCGTACGTATTTTCCTAGAGAGCAGCAGTGGCAGGAGTGGTTAAAGTAATACAAACATGTGATAAAACACCTTTTCATTTTATTTGAAACTCAGATATTCTGGAAATAATACTGAATTCGGAAACTAATGAAGCCACACTGAATGCCTGACTTTCAAACTACTCTGTCCCGTGCCTTTAAAAACAACAGTCATTTTCATCTCCCTCTCTATATCTCAGATTGACCACATTACTGTTCAGACTTTTAAACCCGATTAGAACTGTCTTCTCTCTATTTAAGCTTTCACTGCTTGGAAAACAAGATTTGTTTAGTAATCACCCATCTATCCCTCACATTTCAAGTAATTGTGAAGACAGTTCACTTATGGGATTGTCACTATTATGTGTTTGTTAGATTCAGACATAAAACCAAGTTTAGAATCAATAAAATAACATCAGAAATGACACTGTTATGAAATTCAGAGTTCAGATTCTGTGGAAAAGGCGGTGAAAAAACCAAGAAGCGTCCATAAGCCATGCGAGAAACACTCTCATGGCAGGGAAAATAGCCCCTCAGGAAATTAAATGGTAAGTAATTTTAGATTATGGCATTTGCTGTTAACTTATCTTTCACATAACTTCATCTTCAATTTTAAGGAAGAAAATACTTACTTCTGTACACTTGTTCCAATATTCGTTAAGAATTCTTCCAGCTGTTCATTGAGATTTTCAGAACCCATCTTAAAGAAACTTATCTGAGGCAAGAGAGTGTAGGAGTGGGACGTTGAACGACAGAAACATGCACGTACACAAACAAAATACTTTAAATGAATCATATAAACAAATTCTAAGATACATAGTTAAGTAAAAAACAAAGGATTATACTCATCTGTAAAAATAGGTTATAGTTTCTAATGACTTCTACTGGGCAAGAAGCTACTGAAAAAACTAAACTTAAATTCACTGTACATCTTTTTATATATTAATACATGCATATGGTAAGCAACTTTAAATTGGAAAGTAAATTTTATAATATTTCAAGTAAATCATATGGATAATCTATTTCGTGTTTAATACAAAGATTAAAAAGTTTTAAGGGCTGGCCGAGTGGCTCAGTTGGTTAAGAGCTCGCTCAAGAGTTTGAGCTCTGAGCAACAGCGGTTCGAGTCCAGCCTGAGCTGAGCAGCCGCTGAGCTGCCAACAGGTAGCAGGATGGCCCAGCTAAAAAAAAAAAAAACAAAACAAAAAAAAAGTTTTATATCTGAGGGATAATAAGCACACATATTTGAAGGAATATTCAAATTTCTTTGAACTCTTCATTTTTAGAGGACTGCAATCTCATCTTGTATTACCTAAATTTAATTTTCTAGCATCCTTCCTGATTCACACTTCTAAGGACACTTTGGTGTTCCTCTATTATTTTTAACTCAGGGAGTATGCAGGCAACATGAGAGGAACTCAAAATTCTCTTTTAATTCTATTCTGAAGCAAGACTGAGTGGAAGCTCCTGAAACAGCCATAACTCCAGAGTTCATTTAGTTTTCTGTTACATGTCCTCTACTGTAACGGACAAGATCTAAATACAAGGTAAGTGGTTTCATTTACCCTAAAATAATTGAAATCATTACCTGCAAGGAAAACCATTCTCCCTAAACACTCTCATGCCATTTTAAAATTATTTTTTAAAATATAGACACAAATGTGAATTTTGATCTTAGTCTGTAATATCCTTATATTTAACATATACACCGTATTTAATATAAAGCTTTTAGGGTAATTATAATCCAAAAACCAGTATAGTACTTACCTGAGCTTGCATATACCCAAGTAGAGGTTCTAACAATGCTATTTTCTTTTTGTATTGAAGAGTATTTAATGTACAAAAATAATGCATCATGGTCTGGTGTTGTTTTTTTCTGGAAGTGTAGACGTCTTCTGTTACTTCATACTTCACCTTTAAATGAAAAGCATAAAAACACTATTATTTATTTAATTTTGAATTATCTTTAGTAGTGACTGTGAGGAAGAGCCTACCCAAGGAAAAAGGTACATCACAGCAATTGTGCACAGTTTTCTTATTTTCTTAGATATTAGAAATCCTGGAGGAGATTTCTGATCAAGATGGCAGAGTAGGTGAATGCTATGCTTGCCTCCTTCTACAAAATCAAAATTACATCTAAATTACAGAACCAATCTTGAGAACAAACTGAAGAATAGCTGAATAGAACTCCTATAACTAAGGATACAAAGAAGCCATGCAGTGACTGGTGGTAGGAGGGGCAGAGACTTAAAACGGGTTGGTCCCACACCCATGTGTGGCGGTTAAGAAACAAGAAGTAAGGGGCCGGCCGAGTGGCTCAGCTAGTTAAGAGCTTCCTCAAGAGTGTGAGCGCTGAGGAACAGGGTCGCCGGTTCAATTCCCGGCCTGAGCTGAGCTGCCAACAGATGGCAGGATGACTCAGCTAAAAAAAAAACAAACGAACAAAAAGAAAAGAAACAAGAGGAATATCTCAACTGCAGAGGTTCCCCTTGAGAAGCGCGTGGCCCCAGCCACACATAGGGCTTCCCAGACCAGACCACCAGTGCTGGGAAAAGGACTCCCCATGACATCTGGCTGTGAAAATCAACGGGAATTCTGCCAGGGTGAGATGGAGGGTTACTGGAGTCCCAGGAGTTCCTCTTAAAGAGCCCACACACAGACTTACTTGTGACGGACTCAGGCGCTCTGAGCTCCAGCAATGGGGCAGCAGCTTGAAGAGTGCCAGGGACATACAGGGAAGAACTGAATTGCCTGGCTTCAGGGTGAAGGCTGGAGGAGCAGCTCCCTCTGGGACTAAACTCCGGATAGGTGCCATTGTTCCTTTACTGAGCCCTCCCACACCCAGCCTGCAGGCCCAGTTGGACACCAAATCTGAGTCTCCATCAAACTTGCCCCACCCTGGTGATTTTCTGAGAACCTGCCCAAACCAACCCATGCGCCAGCCCAAACCTCTTTTAGTGGCTGTTCCTCACAAGTTGCTGGCCTCAACCCATACTCAGACTTTCCACTCTCATAGGTCCACAAACCCTAAACAAGCAGCAGCTGGCCTCAGCATGCTCTGTATCTGTTGTTGAGCAGCCCCTGGCACTAGTGGCAGTAGGCCCCAGGTCACAGCATAGTCTCTTCACAGCACAGTCTCTCCTAGGCACCTCTAAGTCCAGCACAGGAAGCTACCAACAGCATCACTTTGCAGCTCCTACCACATGGCCCTGGGCCAGGCACAGGAAGGAGCTGACATGGGCCTGCACCAGAGCCCCTTTCAAGAGGCCCCAGAACCAATACATCCAGTGGCTGGCTTCACACCAGAACACTACCCAGTTAGCTCTACAAACGGCATACCCAAAGGATGGACTTGGCAGGTACCAGAGCCCCTCTACAATGAATCCCACACTGTGGGGTCAGCCCCTGTGCTACAACTCATCCAAGGCAGTCACAACCAACCCTCAGTCAGTCAGCCTGAGAGTCAATCCCATACACTGAGGTGCCAACTGCAATCAAGGCTCAACTATAACAAGAGAGCACACATAACCCAAACAGGGACATTCCTGGCACAACTGGCTCAGGTGACAAGAGAGTCTGCACTACTGGGCCCCACAGGACACCTACTACATAAGGCCACCCTGCCAAGACTGAGAAAAATGTAGCAGATCTATCTAACACAGAGAAACACACACAGGAAGGCAGCCAAAATGAGGAAACTAAGAAATATGTCCCAAATTAAAAAAACGGGAGAAAGCTCCAGAAAAAGAACTAAATGAAATGGAGGCAAACAATCTACCAGATACAGAATTAAAAACACTGGTTATAAGGATGCTCAAGGAACTTAGGGGAAGAATAGATGAAATCAGTGAGAACTTACAGAAATAGAAACCATAAAAAAAGAACCAGTGAAAAATGAAGAATACCATAACTGAAATGAAGAATACATTAGATGGAATCAACAGCAGATTAGATGAAGCAGAGAATCTAATCAGCAATTTGGAAGACAAGGTAGCAGAAAAAACCCAATCGGAACAGCAAAAAGAAAAATAAGAAAAATGAGGATTGTTCAAGAGACTTCTGGGACAACTTCAAATATAACAACATTTGCATCAAAGAGGTACCAGAAGAAGAGAGAACAAGGGATTGAAAACCTTTTTGAAAAAATGTTGATGGAAAACTCCCCTAACCTGGTGAAGGATATAAGACATATAAGTCCGGGAGCACAGAGTCCAAAACAAGATGAACCCAAAGAGGCCCACACCAAGACACATTATAATTAGAATGACAAATGTTAAAGAGAAAGAGAATTTTACAAGCAGCAAGAGAAAAGCAGTTATATACAAGGGAGCTACAATAAGACTATCAGCTGATTTCTCAAAAGAAGTTTTGTAGGCCAGAAGGGACTGGCACAAAATATTCAAAGTGATGAAGAGCAGGGACCTACAACCAAGGTTACTCTACCCAGCATGTCTATCAGTTAGAATCGAAGAAGAAATAAAGAGCTTCCCAGACAAGAAAAAGCTAAAGGAGTTCATCACCATCAAACCAGTATTACAAGAATGTTAAAAGGAATTCTTTAAGAAGAAAAAAAAAGATCAAAAGTATGAATAATACAATGGCAATAACCACATACATATCAATAATTACTTTAACTGTAAATGGATTAAATGCTCCAATCAAAAAATAGAGTTGCTAAATGGAGACGACAAGACCTATACATATGCTGCCTACAAGAGACCCACTTCAGATCGAAAGACACACAGACTGAAAGGGATGGAAAAAGGTATTTCATGCAAATGGAAATTTTAAAAAAACTGGGGTAGCAATACTTCTGTCAGACAAAACAGACTTTAAACAAAGGTTATATAACAAACACAAAGGAAGATATTCCATATTGAACAGCTAAGATATGGAAGAAATGTAAATGTCCACTGACAGACATTTGGATTAAGAAGATGTAGCACAGATATACAATGGAATATTACTTGGAGATAAAAGAATGAAATTTTACAATTTGCAACAACATGGATGGATCAAGAGGGTATTATGCTAAGTGAAATAAGTCAGACAGAGAAAGACAAATACCATACGATTTCACTTATATGTAGAATCTAAGAAATAAAATAAACGAACAACCAAAACAGAATCTCATAGATAACAGAGAACAAACTGATGGTTGACACACGGCGGGTTGGAGGACTGGGTGAACAAAGTGAAGGAATTAAGAAGTACAAATTGGCAGTTACAAAATAGTCACGAGGACATAAAGTACAGCATAGGAAATATAGTCTAAATATTGTAACAAATATGTGTGGTGCCAGGTGAATACAAGACTTATCGGGGATCACTTCATAAGTTATATAAATGTCTAACCACTATACTGTATACCTGAAACTAATATAATATTGAATGTCTACTGTAATGGAAAAAATTTTTTAATTTTTTAGAAAAGAAAAGAGATCTTACAAAATATTGGCTAAGGTAGTTTCCTTGTTTTACTAGCAACCCCTTCATTTTAAAAATACATTAAAGGGCTGGCCGAGTGGCACATTGGTTAAGAACTGGCTTGGGACGCCAGAGGGCCCCAGTTCGGATCCCACATGAGGGCCAGTAACACTGCCCTCTACAGCTAAGATGCTGAACAACAGCTCAACCTGGAGCTGGGTTGCCGTGAGTCGGTGACGGTGTAGGCTGCAGCCCCTGTGGCAGTGGGTTGCCATGGGTACCGTATGTAGCCAGCAGCCAGCGTGAGTGGCCAGCAGCCTCAGTGAGCGGCCGTCCAGAAGCTGGCGACTGATCTGCCTTGCCCAGGAAGAGCTCAATGATGGTGTCAACTTGGGCCAGTGAAGCAACGTCCTCCACAACTAGACTGAAGAACAAAAGGACAGCAACTTTTCTGTTCCCCTTCCCCTGATTCCCCAGTGCTGTTCCCATCCCCAATTCCCCAATTTAAAAATAAATAAATAAAATAAAAATACATTAAAAGCAGAATTCTGCACATAACTAAGAATAGTACAATAACTAAACTAAGCATGGCAGGGAAAGTCTACCACATGGAGCAAAGGCAGTCAACTGTTTGGTATTAGTTTAGCCACTACTCTTTGACCTTGGTCTGTTCACAGCATACCATTTTCTCGTCCAGGTTCCCTCCCTACTGCTTGTTTCTTGTACTTGCTTGTTTTCCTTCACCCACACTTAAAATGTGTGCTCCCTTGAGTTCTTATATTCAGACAACAAATATTTATTGAGCACCTATTATATAATATGCACTGGGCTCTTCCCTTTACTGCTTTCCTTAGAATACCAAATCAAATAAGAATATTGCCTATACCAATGACTCCCAAATTTTTATCTCCTGCCCCTCACTCTCCTAAGTGTCAAAAGATGCACACGTCCACCTGGGCTCTTTATGTATGTGTGTGTATGTGTATGTGTGTGTGGGGGGTGTGGGGGAGAGGCTGGAAATGTACAAAACTAAAGATAGTATCTTCCCCACAAAATGCTCCTCTACTTTGTTTCTTAGCTCTAACTATTCCAAGAGCCATCCCACCATCCAAGAAATCTAGGACTCATTTTTTATCCCTCCTCGTACCATAAGTCTTGTCAACTCTACTTATGAACTATCTTCCAAAAGTATTCTTTCTTCTCCACTCTCAATCACAACCTTAGCTGAGACTGTCCTAATGTTTTTGGCAAACTATTCCAATACTGCTTCAGTGGATTCCCTCTAATCTTGTCCCCTTCACATTTCCATTAGTATTTTTATCCTGTAGTACCTCTGCATGGTGCTACTCACCTACTTAGAATCCTTCGGTGTCTGCTCATTACCTCTAACACAAATTTCAAAGTCATCAACATAGTAATCTCGCCACAAACTACTACTTTCTTGTTATCTCTGCCTTACCTCCCCAAATACATCTTATGCTCCAGACACACTGAATTGTCTTTCCATTATCATAATAATTATTGTTAGAGTTTAATGAAAACTTGCTATAATCCAGGTACTTTGCATGCACTATCTCATTTCATATTAACAACTACTAAGTTTTTTTGATAAAGAAATAAAGGCTTGAAATTAAGTAACTAATGTGTGACCTCAAGAGACTCGGTGACAGAGCTGAGATTTGTCCTCAAGCAGTCTGACTCCAAGCCAGTGCTTTTAAACCTTCAGATTGTACTCTACAAAGGCTGTTTTTCTTTCAGCAATTCCCTCTCCCCACTCATCTTTGATGCAAATGTCACCTCCAAAAATGTAACCTTTCTCGATTCACCAAAGTTAACTGCTGCACTCTGTGTGCACTCCCAGCATTTTGTTAAGACTTCTATTACTGCACTTAGCTCAGTGTTCACGCATTATTCTCTTCATCCCTATACTCTGGCATGTAGTCCAGTTACATGCCTTCACATAGGAGGCCTTCAATAAATGTTTGTCCATTCCTGGGGGGCAGGAGTGCTGCCTATTCACATTGTTCCCCCATGGTACTCAACATATAGTAGATGCTCAATTAATTTTTTAAATGAAATTAAATTTGTTAAAAGAATGTTTTTAAAAATACCTGTAACAGCCAGAGGTGATGTAAAATATACTAAAATTCATACATACAGCCTTTAACTACTTCTCTAAGGCAAAGAAACAAGTAACGTAGATCTCAAAATGTATTTTATTAATATTTATAGCATCAAGTAATTGGTGAACTAAAGTTAGAAATGGAAAACAGATCTCTATACTGAACTTTGTGTGAGAAACATTCCCTTTGTGTCACAGTAGTTACTGCCCAGTAAATCCTACCCAATTATGCATTCCCACAAGTAGTCACTCTGTCCCTACCAGCAGCTGCAGCCAAGGCTACAGACACCAACTCCCAGGCACAGAAATCACCTCACACTCAAACATCTAGTGGAGACCTACTCATCAAGCCTTAGGCTCGGCGCTAAAGGAGAAACAACCTTAAGGAGCATCCAGATGAACTTGAACTTGTTAACATTCTGGTTTTTGTTCTTTATTCAAATGTATTTCTCCTCAAATACAGTGTAATAATTTTGGATTTCACTTGAAGAAATGTGTGTGTGTGTGTGTGTGTGTGTGTGTGTGTGTGTGTGTGTGTGTGTGTGTGTGTGTGTGTGTGTGTGTGTGTGTGTGTGTGTGTGTATGTATATATATATTTTTTTTACCCCCCCTGTAAATGAGGAGGTCCTCATAACAGAATTTCACTGAATTATGTATGCAACATTTCAATTTTTTAACTACTTTATCTCAGAAGACATTTTGGAATACATACATGGTCAAATAAAAACAGAACAAATGTAATGTTATCAAAATACAAAGCAAAAGGAGGCAATGTTATATAACGGGCATCAATTACATTTTTGGAATAGTTACGTTTACTTATAAAATTTTGTCAGCAGAAAAGTATTTTGTTTAAAAAGACTATTACTAATAGTCTGATAATTAGCAATTATTAGAAAAGCTTTGAAATAACTATAAGAAAAGATTAAACTAAGGGCAATACAGCAAAACATATAAAGTAAGCGCTGGCTACTATTTTTAAACAGGAAAAACTAGACCACATAACGAATCAGTTGTCAATTGTGATACTGAAGGAGTAAGCATGTGTCATACCTTGTCATTTTCCCTTTTTTTTGACAATCGGCTATATCTATTAATTGCAGCATCATGGTCTGGAAAACAGAAGTGACTATTAACAATACAACAGTACTTTGCAAAACTTATGCTTTAAATGGTCTTCACATGTGCATCTTTCAACAAATGTCCTAAAGCAAGGTAAGAATCCCCTGCTATATGATCATTCCAGCCAAATGTCCCCCTACCCAAATTTCCCCTAAAGTATGTTTCTAGTTATTAAATTGGTAAAAACATTTAATTCAAAGGAAACTGTAATCCACAAAAAGTTTTTTAAAGTATTTTTAGTACAAAAATAGTAAGTGCTCATTAAAGAAAACTTGGACTATACAGGAAACCAAAGGAAGGGAAAATAGTATACTACCTCTTTAGGTATTATGAAGATAACAAATCACAAGATTTGATTTGCTATCCTCTTAAATTTTTCTAAACATAAACGTAGCATAAACAGTACAACTTAAATAACAACACTGATTTAAATAATGTTCACTTAAAATTTTTTAATTAGTTTTTTTTTCAATTATTGCATAGATTCTGGCCACAGATTTGTGCTGATAAAGAAATGCATCATGGGCCGGCCGAGTGGCACGATGGTTAAGAACTCGCTTGGGATGCCGGAGGGCCCCGGTTCGGATCCCACATATGAGGGCCAGTGACACTGCCCTCCACAGCTGAGATGCTGAACAACGGCTCGGCCTGGAGCTGGGCTGCCATGAGTCGCCGGCGACGGCGTGGGCTGCAGTCCCTGTGGCAGTGCATTGCCGTGGGCTACCGTGTGTGGCCAGCAGCCAGCGTGAGCGGCCAGCAGCCGCAGTGAGCGGCCGTCCAGAAGCCGGCGACTGATCTGCCTCGCCAGAGAAGAGCGCAATGATGGTGCCAACTTGGGCCAGTGGAGCAACGTCCTCCACAACTAGATTGAGGAACAAAATGACAGCAACTTGTCTGTTCCCCTTTCCCCAATTCCCCAGCACTGTTCCCATCCCCCCAATTCCCCAATAAAAATCTTTAAAAAAAAAAAAGAAATGCAACCATAAGAAATAGCTGTGTGAAGTATTAAGAACTTACCATTACTAGCAATCTGAAACACTTCCTTTAATGTCAATATTTCTGGAAAAGTTCAAGAATAATTTCAGTGTAACATATTTATGAAATACCTTAAATTTTGTTTAGAAAACAGTAACTGACATTTAAGCTATAATTAAAACTCCAAATAATATTTCATACTTTAACATTCAAAGTAAAAATGTTATTCTGTTCCAGCTAGTCTTCAGAACATTTACTATCATTAGCAAGTTACACTTCCAGAAAATCTGCTTGCCACAAATTAGTAATATGACACATGAACAAATTTAAAGCCACTGCAAATTCTAAGACATGCAAATATTCTCAGTTCTAGCATTTAACTTATTCTTTTTTTTTATATTGACTCTAATGAAGTTCAAATGCTGAATGAGAAACAAAGAACATTTTATTAATAGATTATGATATTCAGTCCCCTTAGATTGAGAAAAGAGATCTTATTTCTTGACCCTGGAATGACCATTTTTGAGGATTACCACCACAAATATTAATTCCATTTCTAAAATACATTTGTTTTTATTCCATGTATAATTTATATATTTTACCATCCACTGATATATTAGTTCAATGTTTTATTCTTCTACACATCCAATAAGTAAGTCTGTACAACTGTCTAAGATTGTAAATTATGAGAAAGCAGAGCCAATTCTATAACTCTCCTTTTATCACTGAATAATCCTAAATGGGGGCAAAAAAACCACCACAAACTACCAAGTCATGGGCTGCGAGATGTGCCAGCACCCCTATTTCCTGCCATTCCAGCTCATAAACACACCTCCATCTCCTGTGCCACTGTCCCAGTGCAGGCCTTGGTCATAACTCGCTGAACTCTCACAACTTCCCAATCCATTCTCGTAGACATCAAATCCACTCTATTCCACCCTCCAAAAACAACAGGTTTGTCTTTCTCTACTTCTTAAAGACCTTGCTTATAAACTGAAGTTGAATGTCTTTAGCATGATCTAGATTTGTCTCCTGCCATCCCAACACACATTCAACATTGCAGCCACACTGAAGTTCTTGTCATTCTCAAAAGCCATGTATTTCTACAACCCACACCTTTGTGCTTCCTAGTCCCTCTTATAGAATAATGACTCTTTTTTCCTGGCCAATTCCTCTTCATTGTTCAATGCTCATGTCACATCCTTGGTGAAGCCTTTCTAACACCCTCCTCTAAGCCCTCACAACACCTTGCTCATTCCCTAATTTTAAGAGACAGAGTATCATAATTATCTTTTTACCCATATCCTTCTCTAAGCTTTCTCAAGAGAAGTGACATTTTATTCATATCGGTATTCCTCGGTAACTAGTTTAACATCTAGCAGAAGCTCTTATAAACATTTAGTGACTAATTAAAGTAAAAGTGGCACAAGCTATATTCAGAAATGGTTAAGATATAGAGTAATATGCATTTTACAGGCACTGATCTTCTGACAGCTAATGACCATACACAAGCTTGACTTCAATACCTTTCAGATCTCTTTCTTTAAACTGGGAAATGGGGAACATCATGGCATCAGCAAGCTGCGTTGAAAGAACCGCATGACAAGAGCTAAGCTAGTAAAAGAAAAACCAAAAAGCCAAATAACTAACTATACATTTAACCAGTGTTATGTAAATTACACAAAATCTAGTAAAAGGTGTTGATACATTTTACATATGAGAATACTAAAAATTATGTGATATAGTAAAAAATATTATACTAAAAAAATTCCATTTAAAACTTAGAAGAAAACATAGGATTAGGCAATGGTTTCTTAGATATAACACCAAAAGCACAAGCAACAAAAGAAAATATAAATTGGACTTCATCAAAATTAAAACTTTTGTGCATCAAAGGACACTATCAGGAAAGTAAAAAGACAATCCACAGAATGGGAGAAAATATTTGGCAATCACATACTCGTATCCGATAAGAAACTTGTATCTAGAATAAAGAACTCTTAAACTCAGTAATAAGAGACAAACAACCCAATTAAAAAATGGGAAAAGATCTGAACAGACACTTCATCAAAGATACACAAATGGCCAATTAGCACAGGACAAGATGCTCCAGATCGCCAGCCATCAAGAAAATGCACATCAAAACTATTATGAGATACCTCTTCACACCCACTTAGATGGCTATAATAAAAATAAATGAAAACAACAAGTGTTGGTGAGAATGTGGAGAAACTGAAATCCTCCTACATTACTGGTGGGAATGCAAAATTGTGCAGACGCTGTGGAAAACAATTTAGTGGTTCCTTAAAAAGTTAAACATAAAATTACCATATGACCCAGCAATCCCATTCCAGGGTATATACCCAAAAGAACTGAAAACTGGTGCTAAAAAAAAAACACAACACAAAACGTATACATGGGCCGGCCGAGTGGTGCATTGGTTAAGAACTGGCTTGGGATGCCAGAGGGCCCGGGTTCGGATCCCACATATGAGGGCCGGTGATGCTGCCCTCTGCAGCTAAGATGGTGAGCAACAGCTCAACCTGGAGCTGGGCTGCCGAGAGTCACCAGCGATGGCGTAGGCTGCAGCCCCTGCTGCAGTGGGTTGCCATAAGCTGCCGTGTATAGCCGGCAGCCAGCGTGAGCGGCCAGCAGCCGCCATGAGCGGCCGTCCAGAGGCCGGCGACTGATGTGCCTCGCCCGGGAAGAGTGCAGTGATAGTGCCAACTTGGGCCAGTGAAGCAACGTCCTCCACAACTAGACTGAAGAACAAAAAAGGACAGCAACTTGTCTGTTCCCTTTCCCCCAATTCCCCAGCGCTGTTCCCTTCCCCCAATAAAATCTTTAGGAAAAAAAAAAAAAACTTATACATGAATGCTCACACTAGCCAGAAGGTGGAAAAAAACCGAAATGTCCATCAACTGATAAATGGGTAAATAAAATGCAGTATATTCATACAATGGAATTTTATTCAGCAAAAAAAAAAAAAAAGGAATGAAATTCTGACATATGCTACAACCTTGAAAACATTATGCTAGGTGAAAGAAGACAGATGCAAACATCCACAAATTGTATGAGTCCATTTATATGAAATACCCCAAACAGGCAAACCCATAGAGACAAATTTATGGCTGCCAGGAGCTGAGGGGAGTGGCGAGTAGGGAGTGATGGCTCAATGAGCACAAGGTTTCCTTTGGGATGATGATAAAAATGTTCTAGAACATCAGTGGTGATGGCTGCACATTGTGAATGTACTATTGGGTTGTTGGAAAAGTCATGACGCATTTTTACAACAAAAAACATAGAAAAAATACGTCATGACTTTTCTGACAACCCAATAAATGTAGCTAGTGGTAAATTTTACGTTATGTATATTTTACCACAATAAAAAATGTCCTCTAAATATTTCTTTATATTGATCTCCTGGGGCAACATTTTGCTACAATGAATTATTAAAACATTTCAAAAAATTACATTTCCAGTTAAGAGACCAGAAAGACAGAACTATCTAATGGTTCATGTGAAAAGAAGAACTTTCACTGCACTAGGAGAGAACAGTTATGAAATCTCCAAACATCTCTCACTACCTCTTTTCCTCCTAACTTCTAGGTCTTTTTTTAATGATCTGTTCTGATGACTGGTTAGAGAAATTAGAGGTTGATATTGGCTGTTTGAGATGGAAGTATTAATGAACTGAATGGTTAAAATGTTGCTTGATGGCAAAAGAGGGAAACCATAAAGAGCTTCAGTATAGCTCACAGTTTAACTCTTCTATCCCTGCCTACGTCACATAACACAATGAATGACTGAATGTTACATGGACTAGGAGAGCATACCTATGTATGTTTATTCCTTGAAAACAACTTGTTTTAATCAAAGGAAGTATTGCTTTTACAAGACAGCCACCAAGATGTGGAAATAAAGTCGTTCTTAAATAGTAATCTTTTATTAATAGAGACTTACTCATATAATCATAAAAGTTCCCAATAAATCTGAACAACTTGAGTAACTTAATTATAAGACCACTTATTCAAGCAAAATAAAATAAGCAGTTACCTCATCTATAACTTTCGAGAACTGTTGCAAAGTGGAGCTCATAACTTCATCATCACCCCCCAATGGAAAATGCTAAAAAGTGAGAAACAGAGATGATGTAACAAGCCAATGCAATACATCTTTTGTAAATGACATTATAATTTACATTTTTAAATAACTTCAGAAAACTAAAATTTTGAATAAGTTCTAAAAATATCATTTTAATAAAACAGTGTAATTCATATAATTAGTAAACATCAGAAAATGTTTGCAAAACAACCAACTAATATGGTGTATAGGAATGCATACCATACTAGAAGCTCAAAGATTTGATGTTTTGCTCCAATTTCTCCAATAACCGGCTATGTAACTTAAGCAAGCATCAATTTCTTTTGTATAAATAAGAGAGGTAAATTAGATAACCTCCGTATCTAACATTAAATCATTAAAATTAGGTGTAAGTGCTATAATGGAATTTCAATGGCATATCAAAATTACCTTCTGTGGATTCAAAAAAGCTTAGGATTCTTGATGAGAAATTCTATGTATACATATATAGATAGTATTATGGCATATTTTAAATTATGCTTTTAAAACTTTCATATACAGTACCTGTTTTTCATATTCTTTTAAAAGTTTTGAAGTCAGGTGTGTTGCTGCACTTAATTCATTCTATAGGAAAAGATTCATTCAAATGAACATATTACTGATAAGAAAAAAGTTTTAGTTGAAAATACCTACACCACTTTTATCACTAAACAAAAATACTGAACCTGTTCTCTAAACCTCTCACTAAAATCACTGGAAAGGGGACTACCAGTAAAGCACTTTAAAGGGAAATTCAAACCATGAAATATACACCATCAAAGAATTCAGCAGTGTTCCAGGTATGTGCTTTTTTTAACTAATAAAATCTAAGCATTAAATTAAATATTGTTAAAACTTTAAAGCTAGAAGTAAACTGTACATATCTTAGCAAAATCTTAAGAGAGTCTACACTGATGACTGCTTATCACTCTCTAAATGCTGTTACTAGACCATGATAAGCATTTAATAACATGCAACCAAAAAGTGGTCAACCTAGTCATAAAATATAGCAACATAGCCGTATGAAGGAAATACATTTTAATTTAAAGGTGTTTTGTTTTGTTTTTTTCAGTGATGAATATATGGACAAAAATAGCATTTCATTTACATATGAATCTCTGTGGTCAGAAATCAAATCTTGAGAGATATATCACACACAGAAAAATAAAAAGCTATCACAACTTTTAAGTGCTTAAGGAAAATGCCATAAAGGAGGAAAATTTAAAAGGGAAAAAAAAATGAAACACGCACACTTAATTAATCCCAGAGAAAGTTTATTATAAAACCCAGGTTGTTGTTAAGGCTTATAATTAACTTAGATAAGCACACCCTCAAATCTTATTCCTGTTCAACAAAAAACAATCTAGTCATACCTATCTTCTTAAATTTACCTCCTGTGCCCCAGGGCTACATCTAATTTTTATTATCTTCTATTAACTAGATAGAGACAACCTATTTTCAAATCCTCCACTCAAAAACGGAGTGTATTTCATAAGATTAAAAGCATGATAAGGGAAAATATGGGTGACAATATGGGGTTTTTGGTCAAATCTTAGGCAAAGATCACTATTAGTAAGCTTTAATCAGAAAGCCCTTACTGGGTTTGGGGAAGAGAGGCAGACGCTTAAATCTTCATCACTTTTACAGTACTAGGAACTATACATTAGTAATTGAAATGTGAGCTCTGTAATACAAAATACCTAATGTTCTTTCATCCATTCAACAAGTATTTATTACTATAAGTCCCAGATAGGACTATGCACAAGTAAACGAGACACTCTCTCTGTCCTCAAGGGCTTAAAGATTCATTTTTAAAAAAACATTGAGTCAGCCTTTTACCTGTGCATCATAAATCCGATGCATAGCTTGATACAACTGGTTCATATAGTTGGAAATAGCTGTAGCATCTTCTTCAAATACACCCAGTAAAGACCTTGTCTGTATAAAAATAAAAGCAATAAGTTTATGTTAACCATTATATAGATCACAGAAATTTTTTTTCTAAAAGAAAAATCCTAGGATATTAGAGCTGTAATTATTCTAAGTTTTAATCAATTTTCTCTCTTTTGATAGCAAATGCCAAGATGTCAGGACTCTTTTTTTTTGGGGGGGGGGATTGGGTGATGGGAACAGCACTGGGGAATTGGGGGAAGGGGAACAGACAAGTTGCTGTCCTTTTGTTCTTCAGTATAGTTGTGGAGGACATTGCTTCACTGGTCCAAGTTGGCACCATCATTGCGCTCTTCCTGGGCGAGGCACATCAGTCGCCGGCTTCTGGATGGCCGCTCACTGCGGCTGCTGGCCGCTCACGCTGGCTGCTGGCTACACACGGTAGCCCATGGCAACCCACTGCCACAGGGGCTGCAGCCTACGCCGTCGCCGGCGACTCATGGCAGCCCAGCTCCAGGTTGAGCTGTTGTTCAGCATCTTAGCTGTGGAGGGCAGTGTCACTGGCCCTCATATGTGGGATCCGAACCGGGGCCCTCTGGCGTCCCAAGCCAGTTCTTAACCATCACGCCACTCGGCTGGCCCAGGATTCTTTGTTCTCAATTTCACTTCATTAAAACAGGGATTTTCCAAATATATCACACAAATTTTAGAGGGAAAAACAAAGGTATATTTTTATGAATTAAAAAGTCTGTAATTAAACTAAGATCATGGGGATGAAGGAGAAGAGGAAGGGACGAGACAATACAAATTGGTAACTACAATATGGCCTCAGGGATAGAAAACACAGTCTGGGGAATATAATCAATAATGTTGTAAATATTTTTTAGGGGGCCAGTTGAACTCATGTCTTGTTAGGGAGACCATTTCATAGACGCTGTAGAGGCCTGACTACCGCACTGTATTTCTGAAGTTGATGTTGAATAATATTGTTATGTCAACTATAATTATATATACATATAGACACGGGACGTGGAGTAGAGAGTGGGAATGGAGTCAATGGAATTGTAATAGATAAGTATGATATCGGGGGTGGGAGGGCAGTGGATGGGGGGAAGAAGGGTTGTTACTTTGTGAGGAGTGTAAAGGATAACTATTGCATTGTTCTGTACACCTGAAATAATAAAAAATAAAAAAAACAGAAACATTCAAGGCAAATTAACAGTATTCCATGTATATTTTAAATGTCTTATTTCAGAATAACTTAGTATGATTATTTCTTTTTCTCCATGGTACCTTCTAGTAGTGCCAAACCCCTCCCCATCCTAATCCAAAAAAATACCATAGTGCTCCTACCCAACATGGCCTATAAAATGTTAACTATGTTTTTTCTGAGTGCAGCATTTGGGGATTTTTTTTCTTTTCTTCTTCTTCTTTATGTATTTCTTTATTGTTAGGCATTTTCTTTTAATGAGCATGAAAAAATTATCTTCATTTTAAGGGAGAAAAAACTTGTAATGTTAAGACTGTCAATAAAAAGGATCAGAAATAAGGAAATTCAGCATATCAAAGCAAGATATGCTCACCTTTTACATCTCAAAGGCAAGGAAAGAATTAATATACCAGACTACTGAGATAACTGCAGCTTAAAATCTAAAAGATGACCTTGTGTTTTTATTCTACAAATAGTTACTTCATGCGTCAACCTTAAAAGCTAGTTTTTAAAAATCAACTTACTCCTTAGCTTCCTCGTTTCAAAAGAGGAAGCTCACTCAATATGGTTTAAAAAAAAAAAAGTACAAAATCATTATGCCAGTATATGAAGTCCGTGTTCTCAGTTCTCTACTTTCCATGCCCCAGAGATTTAGATCTGATAGAATCTTTTTAATTTTTAGCTCTAGTGTCCCACTCCCATTCCCCAAAGTGTTATTTTAAGAAATCTTGTTTGGCTACTTCCATTCTTAAGAAAAATCTGCCACTTAGTTTTATTTTATTTTTTCCCCCCAAAATTATTCTAACTTAAGGATTACATTTATGCAAAAACCTGTAGTGGAATTAAATTCAAAAGATCGTCTTAGACTAAACAGGGTTGAAACAGGTTTCCTATTTAAAACTAATAATATCAAGTTCAATACTGTAGAATGACTGTTTAAAGTTAGCAGCTTACAAGAAAACAATCAATATGGTACCACTCATTGGTGACCACTGTGATGACCACTGTGAGCTTCACCATTTTTATACTAATAAAACAAACAAAACAATGCTGGCAATTAAGCTATGATTTAACGGTTTTCTTATACCTTAAAAATTTTACTTTAAATTTATGGAAACAGACTTTGACAGAATTTTATATGTAAAATTCAAATAAACATGAAAAGGAAAACACAAGAAGCATAAATTTAATATAATCCTAGAATTTCTTCAGAGTTCAACTCCTATTAGTCACTTTTTTAAACAAGAGTCATCAATATCCATGTTTTCTCATCCAATACTATTCTGTGCCATGAGGTGACAAATATTTCTCCGAAGTGCTCCACTATTGTCACCAATATTTTCTTATGAACCACTGCCATTAGATACCCATTCAGCAAGTTTTGATGGTAGCAACTAGCTTCATCTCACCAGGAGTCAAAGGAACATTTTCAGACTACAAACAGGACTGATACTCCTTCAGGTGGTTGTTAAATTGATTTGTTGGCCAAACACTGAGAAGTTACACTTGGTCAGTCATGCCACTAGGAGAAACAACCAAGTGTATACATTTGCAGACAATTACAAGTAAAACACCATCAACTGTAAGGAGCATCTCAATAACAGACAGATGTTAAAATGTGTGTGTGTGGGGGGGGGGAGTACGTGTCATAATCTATGAGTATTTCATATTATGCCAAAGAAAGAAGCCTCCATTTGGGATTGGAGTTTGTCTTCACAGTTCTAGCGTGGATGAATCATTGATATTTATCTACATATAAAATCAGTTTTTTTTTAAAGATCATATCTGCTCCTACTAATTAGGAAGTTTCATTTTGGTTCTGATTTTCAAAACAATATATAAGCAAGGACACAAGGTATCTAGAGTAGTCTTAAGATTTTTTTGCCTCAACAAATGATCGTTTGCAGAATGGTGTGGTTTGGGCAAGATAATTTTTAGAAGGTTTATATTTGATTAGCTGGATTTGAACTTGCAAATTCCCCCCTACTTTAATACTTAGTTAATATAAATCAAAACTAAAAAAGGATAACTGTAATTCAGGATAGTCTTTCACGACTCCCAGGTTCTAATGTTTTTACACAGGCTATGTAAAACTGATTAGGATAAAAAAAATGATTAGGATCAAATGGTCTAATAAAAAATTCATGTATATCAAGGAGCTTTAAAAGCTTCCATATTTTGTTAATTGACTTCTTGGACTCTATCCTAAACAGTCCAAATGAGAATATTTGTGCCCAAAAGCATGATTCTCAGCCCTATATAGAAAACCAAAATTTGGGGAAAATTCTCAAAGTCAATAGGACAACTGTTAAGTCAGTTAAGGTAAGGTGAAGCCTTTAAATTTTTATTCAGAATGTAATAACGTGACGATATTAAGCTATAACATGAAGTTAAATCCAAATAAAAATTGGGTGCACAATGTAATCTCAATTACATTAAAATGTGTAAGAGGAAAAAAACTGGAAAAAAGAAAGCAAACTGCTAACAGGGTTTGCTGCTGAGTACATGGCAGGTAACTGTGCTTTCCTTTCTGTACTTCCAAATTTCCTGAAGCAAATTATTTTTATAATCAGGTACAAAAATAAAAACATTTACTATCCACAACAGCTGTGGTTCAGAGAAGTTGAGTGACTTGCCCTAAAGCAGAAGAGACTAAGTGGCAGCGAAGATTAAAACCCTTATATCCTGAGTCCCAGATCCAGGGCTTTCCATTCTGCCACAGGTTCTCCCTAAGAATTACTTCCAAATGTCTTCTCTTTCTAAATCCCAGTTGTCCCCAACTAATTTTCCCAAATAAATACTGTCTTCTCAAAAATTACTACTTCTAGAAATTGAAATATCAATGTGGCTATTTCATTAAAAACCACTGTAATGCTAATATGGCACATGCTTGTAAAAAAAAAAAAAAAGAAAAAAACCAATGCTCAGGTTGTAAACTACAATAGTTATGTGAAAAGTTCAAGAAATTAAATGAGTCAAGACATTATGTCCCCCTCACAAGTCATGGCTAGGGCACTGTACAACTCATTTTGAGCTGTGTGTAGTCTTTATGGGCTATAAAAACAAATCCAGGTAAGAGAAGAAAGGCAACCTGTTGAATCTTAGGTAATAAAAAAGTAAAAGTACAACGTGCACCTGACCAATAAATACATCCCACAAACTTTTGCAAAACGTTTGAAACAAATATAGCTTATAACTTTATACCAAAAAATCATTAAGAATTTGAACTGGCAATTTTGGCAGTCAAATAAGCCAACATGTGGGTTTCTCTTTGTGTCAGTATAAGCTGATAAGAATACATTACCAGCAGGCAACTGCTTTGTGAAGATAACGTTCAGCATGAAAAAAACAAATCAATTCCACAATCAGAGCCCCATTTCAACTTGGCAGTTGAAATTGGCACAAAATCCATGGCAGACATGCCACCCAGGAAAGAGGGATCTAGCCCCTTCCTCCTGTTCTTTTGGTGCCATATGAAACTATCAAGACACATGAAATACAGGCGACTGTAGTTCTAAATGAACATTTCAGAACATTTTCTTCATTCTAAGTGGTAGCCAACCAGCAACATGGTCTTAAGTCGCTTAGATTATTGTGTAAGACTTAAGGATGAAGTTTCTTTATGCAAGTTACAGACCCACCATGTTTTTAATATAGCTGGTTTCATTCTTCAGTACTAAAAACATAACAAATGGTTATGTTTTCCTAGATCGTTGTAAGCTAAAGCCATCACATCAGCATCATCCCTAACGCACAAAACACAGATCACAGGGTTTTATTTTGATGAGTTTATTAGGGCTAAATCTGCAAGGAGCGGTGCGGCAGTGGAGGAGCCACGAAGGCGCCGTCCCACGCCGAGCCGAGCTACAGTGACAGCGGCTACAATCACAAAGACAACACGGGACACACTCCGAGAGGAGGCTCCAGCATCCAAGACCGGCTTCGCCGATGACGCTCCACGCGGGCAAATGAACAGTTCCCAGCATCTTCATAAGAAAAACCATCCATTTCCTTCCTTAGCTTGCTCAGAAATCATTAAATAAGTCTACTGGGTTCTTTCTCCCGCATTTTCTCCGAAGAGGTTTTCGGGGGGGGAAATTACAGAATCGAGATTTATCATCATCTCACATCAAGGCGATAAAAACACACCTCTTGTCAAATAAAAGGGAGCCCCGTGCGCTTACGTGACCGCCGGGCACACGAGCGAAGGCGACGGCTGCTCGATCGCCGCCCGCCGACGTCGCACACCCAGCGCGCGGCTCTCGGCCTAGCGGCGCAGGCCCACGCGGGCCGCGGGCCGGCGACCCGGCCTCCGCTGCTCCCGGCGCGGCAGGCGAAGACAGGGAGCACTGGGCGGCGGCGCCCACCTGGGCCGGAGCGGGCACCTGAGGCCACGGTGGCGCCAGGCCTGTGATCGGCCCGCCCCACTCCTACCCTCGCCGCCCACCGCCGCCCGCTCCTCACCTGCGGGCTGTCCTCCAGAGTCTCCTCAATGGGCAGCTTGTCGATCCCCGGCATCGTGGCAGAGGAAGGGCGGCGGCAGGAGACGCGGAGACCTCCCACAGCTCTCCACGCCGACCCGCCCGCAGCAGCTAACCCCGACCCACCCTCTCTCACAGGCTCTGCAGCCTTCCCTCTTCGCTCCGCCCTCTCCAGGCGCCTAGCGGCCAGGCGGGAAATCCCGCCCCCTCGCTCTCTCTGCCCCGCCTCCCGGTGCACCCATTGGCACGCGGAGACGCCCGTCAGCGTGGCGGGACTGGTCGGGAGGTCCTTTGCCTGGAAGGGTTCTGCGGCGAGCGCGGGCCTCTGAGGCGAAGGAGGCGGTACAGCCTAAACCTAGCGAGCATATACAGTGCGCGCGTTTGCGCGTGGATGTAAATCACAGGGGACCATCTCCCATAACCTCGTAGATCTCCGGTAACTGGAACCTCGAGTGAGGACCGCACTGGGTGAGTTGCGGAGGTTTTACTTCTCTATCAACGTTTTTCGTCAGAGACCATGGAAGAGGCTCTACTGCTGGCGCCTTTCTTTAGTTTTTCAAATTATAACTTTCTTAACCCTGCCGAAGCATTCAGTCGCCTCCTGACCTGCAGCAGAATGGTGCTGGCTAACTCAAAGGTCTGTGAGATCCGAAATTGTGTCAGTAACAGGGATTTCCGATAAATTCGTGGGCAGTAGGCTCGAAATTATTTTTCTGAACACGTGGATTTCAGTATATTCAGCTTAAAACATGTGAGTTTGTTGCCAATTTATCAGTTCTTACCTGGTTTTGAAAAACTGATATGCCACAATTTGGACTTAATATTTCTTTTAAATCACAAATGAAAACATCTTTTAAAAATCAGGATACACTGGTAAATGATGATGGTAACTGATTAGCATTTCTGTTAGGTCAAAAAGTTCTGGGAGAAACTTTTTAGTTAGTTTCTAAAGCCTCTAATTTTACAATACAGAAAAGTGAATGAAGCTCTATTTCCAGAACCTGTTGTGGATTAGAACTGTTATCGGAAAGTGGGCCCTTTTCAGCGCGAAATCCAGGTCCTTGGCAACTCGAGCAAGGAATTGAATGAGATGCCGGAGTAAAGTACTGAAAAAGTAGTTTATTCGAAAAGATAATACATTTCAAAGAGTATATGTAGGCCCAAGCAGTAGAGAATGGCTTAAGGCCCATTATTAGAAAAGAAATTACATTCCAAAAAGTTTGGAGCAGGCCACGTACAAATGCGTGGCTCAAAAATGAAGAAGCGGTCAAAAGAGCAGGGCGGACTTCCAAGCACTTGGGGTTTTTATCCCTTCTCTAGAATGGGCTGTTCCCCTAAGGGCGTGGGACCACTTGATTGGCACTTGTGATTGACAGGCTGTACTGGCCAGGTGCGAGTGACTGGTCTGATCTAGTTGTACCCATTGGTTTTAGGAGTAGATAGTTACAATGAAAAGAAGTTTTGGGTTGAGAGGGGAGGTCACCTGGTGGTCACATCCTGTGGGGCGTGCAGGAATGCAGAGACCCAATGTCTGCCTCTAACTGCCTACTTAGTTTTCCCCTTGAGAGACGTGATCCCCATTTAAATCTATGGGAAGCTGAGGGACAGGAGGTCTCTTCTTCTGTATCTGCTTCCTGCTGGGCAGGGGCATAGAGCTGTCCCTGCCTATTGGGGGTTCAAGGAACTCTCACCCTAGCTGATCTCAGATGGAAGGAAGGGGTCTCAAGCTCCCCCTAGAAGACCGCGTTGGCTTCTTTGGTTGTGACCAGCAATCTTGTTGGGGTATCCACTGTATCCCCAAAGTCCCTGAATGAGGAAAAATAGATTTTAATTAATAAACCTGTTAGCTCTCATGAAGCCTGTTGCCATTCAGCCTGTTACTCAGGTGGCCTCAGTTGTCTGGGCCCAGAATGGGTTTGGCATTCAGTTTACTGGCCTGGGGGATATTAGGAAGTCACAGGCCCTCAAGTAGTTATCTGAAGCCGGAGACTTCTATTGTTTAGGATTCAGAAACTGATTTACGAAGCAATCAAGAAGCAGGGGGATAGAATTTTAGGATTCAGGCTAGGAGCGATATTTAGTGTAGGATTTACAAACTGGTTAGAAAAGTAATCAAAACCAAGAGCTAAGGAACTAAGAAACTAGGGAAGAGACTTAACATTTCTATACTTAATATTTCTATAGGAAAGAAAACGTAAAATTCTTTGTGGGGGGGGCTCTCTTGGACGGTAACAAAACTGCTGCCTCTTTGTCCATCTTCCCCAATCTCATTACCCCATTTATTTCTCTGTAGAGTTATTAGAAGCTTTCACCAGTATACAAAGAAAATGACAGTCACTATTGCCTTTTAAAAATCTAGACATTAATCCCACCAAGCCATCCCATTTTCATTCAAGAAATATAAGAAATGCTGAGTAAAAATTATTAGTTGCCTGTTTCCTCTGATACATTGGAATAAATTCAGATACAGTGGAACAAATCCAAATGCAGTAATGGGAATGAAAGTTACATATTTTTAACTAAAATTCTAGATTTTCCCATGATCTCTTGAACAAAGATAAAATCACATTTTAAAAGCTTTACTAGGTAGACTTGCAGTATAGTTTCACACAATTATCCTTAGTGTTATAAGCTTTAAATAAAAGCTCTCCCCATAGATTGTTTATCAACTAGTCATCCTCTAGAAGAGAGCTTTAGTTTTTGAAAGGTGGTTTGGAATCAGTTGTTACATAGTTCTACTGGTTCCCAGCTGCTTAGATCCCAGCAACCCAAGTCTGTCCTTTGATATTCCTTTTTTAACTTTGGCAGCATGCAACCTGGCTCTAAAGAAGGAAGATGTTCAAGGTAAGTGACCTTCTTGGTTGAACTGTGATTTAGGTTAAAAGTGAAGAAGAAAGGTAGTGGTAATTGATAAAGAAACAAGAGTAAGTGACAAGTGAAAACAAAGTGTAAGAAGGGTATATGGTGTAACCGCAGGGATTTGTCCAGTTAATTTGGCCAAACCAAATAACTCCAGTGAAAAATGCTGTTAGGTATCTGAATTATTTGGGTGGGGTATTAGCAAGTTAAATAGTTTGCTTTTTTGTATGTTATGTTCATCTAAACTATTTTTGTAAAAGATTCTCAAGAGGCTTTTATATTATCAGAGAGGGGCAAGGAATTCTTATCAGGCTCAGCTGATTAAACAATGAAACAAACAAGATATTCAATTGGATGGAGAGGTGATTTAGTCAAATTATAAAACTAGGAAAAATATCTTAAAAGGCCTTCTATTTGGATCCTTTATCTTTAAGCTACTGTATCCTCTGTGCATCCAAAAAGATGTTTGTATTTCCTATTTTAAAACATCTCTAAATTAGTTTCCTTTAATAACCAATTTAAATTTAGTCAGCCTAAGTTCTGTACAGTTGACCAAACTCAGTTCCTATTATACGGGAAATGAGGCTTGTTCAGAGAGAATGCCTCAAGGGTTGTTAGAGACTCACCTGTGGGCAGCATAGTAAAAACTTTGGCCAGCTGGTTAATTTTATGGAAGGCAAGGCAGGATTAAACGATATCCACCAAAGAATTCTTTGAGACATTTCACACATATAATTCATTGAAGTGTTTCACACATATAATTTATAACAAAAGGACATACAATCCTGTAAATAGATTTGTTAATTATTAGTCTCCTAAAATTATATTTGATCTTCTTATAATTAGTTTTTTACATGATACTCCTTGAAGTTCTGGTCTGTGGTCTGTAATAGAAAAGAATCCAACAACCCAAATGACGCTGATGCTTTGCTTTTCAAAATTATCCCCCTAAGTTAGTAGTTAGCAAACTCACGCACATGTACAAGTTATATGGGGAGGGTTGTTAGAATACAGATCTCTGAGCCCAGCTGGAAGATTCTGATGTCGTAGGTCAGAAGTGGGATAGGAGTCTCCCCAGGTGACTCCATAGCAGATAATCCTCAAAGCACATGCTGAAAAACTATCCAAAATGGAGAATAACTATTTCCCTTTCCCAGATAACCTTGTATTTTAGAAAATGTAAAGAATCAAATAAACATTTAGGAAAGGAGGCCTAGGTTCCTCCAGCTGAGAATGGTGAGAGGGGCACCATTTCCAGAATCACCTGGAGAGCCTGAGAGGCCTCCTATTCACAAATATCCCCTGAATGACCCAATCAATCTGAAATTCTAGGGATTTCATGCTCCTTTTAAGAGAATAATATACAATGCAAATAATTCTGAATATTACCTAATCAATCACTTCTTAATGGACTCATTTTAACAGATAATTCATTTGTTTTCATAACATCCAGCTGAGATGAACCAAATTTAAGAAATGAGCATATTAATTGGTAATTTGGGAAACTGAGTCACTTCCATCCACTTTAAAACATTACTACCAGTGTTAAGAGTGGGAGGAATCTTTGGGCAATTGGAAGGTAGGATCAGAAGTTCTGAGGAGTAGGTTGCAAAAAGAGATGGATGGGCAACAAGAAACAATGATTCTTCATTGTGCCACTGCACACCATCCTCTGCCTTCGACCTTGATGTTAGTGTTGTTTTTGCTCTTTGCCACGGCATCCTTAGAATGCAAGGTAAGTTCTGTAGCTTCTGCTTTCTTGCCTATAAAAAATAAAACTGTATTCCTAGAATAACTGTATATGCTGCTATTTCTTTTATGGTTGTCTTGATTCCTTTTTTTGGAAAAAGAAGACATTAGTAAATTAATTTCTTTGGCCAGGCCAAGAACTTTGAAACAAAGCAGCGCCGTTCTCATTTCTGGATGAAATGGGATGAAAGCGTGGGCCTGAGCTCAGGGACATGGACTGTGGAGCCATCCTAGCCGGCTTTGAATCCTGGCTCCATTCTTTCCTAGTTCTGTGACTTTAGTCAAGTTACTTAACTTCTCTGTGTCTACATTCTGTCATGTGAAAAATGAGGCTTAATATAGATAACCTACATTATAAAGTGGTGAAGGTTATTAATGAGCTTTCAGAATAGTGCTGGGCAAAATAAGCATTCATTAAAAATTAGCTAATTATTCTTTTCATTATTTACTGTTAAATATTAAATATTTTAATGTTTTTAAGGCAGCTTTCATTTTCTTCATTTTGTCACTTTTTATCATATCTAACGAAACCAATATTTTCTAAATCAGAAGATTGTGCTCATTATCTTA